TTGGCACGTTTAAACCAGCAGGGAAGAGTTTCCTTGAAGCTGTGAGTCTGATAAGATGGTTTTGTGGGACTGCAAGGGAAAGGCAAAGGTTTGGGTTGGGTAGTTCGGTAAGTGCTTAAGCTATTTTGGTGAAGGTTTGGTAACTGTCATGTTGCTGCTGGTGCACAACTGGTCCTTGATGCAAAATTTGTTAGATGGTCCTAACACCAGCAGGTCTGAGCCATAAAGTTAGTGTTTTGCTAGGGCTTATCTGATGGGTTCAGTCATTGAAACAACAGGTTATAGATACTGCTGATGCCAAATTATGTTAGTTGTGGACATTACCAAACTGTTTGTTTAGTGAAGCAACTTGGATTTTTTTGAAGCAGTATGGCAGAGTTGTTAATACAGGATAAACCAAAACTTGCAGTGTCCCTAGCCATTTGATGATGTAGCTTCCCTAATAGGGATGTGACACTACAGCATGTTCTGATGTTAATTGAACATTAGTTGTTAAATGTACCCTGTTTCAGAAGCAAGGAGCTAAGTCTGTCTGGACAAATAGTCCTAAATCGGTGTTAATTACTGCAGTGATCATGCATACATCATGAGTCAGGACTCATGGTGTATCTAAAGATCAGATTCTTTTGGAGCTTATATTTCTGAGACATGTTTCTAGTAAACATGTTCAAGTTCTGTACTGTCCAGGCCAGTCTGATGTGAAAACAAGCAACTTTATGCAGCATTGTTTGATGTTTGAACATTAACTGGTGATGGCAGATAGCAGATCTTGTTCTGGTCAGCTAGTACTGATGGCAGCTAGAAAGACTAAAAGCAGGCTGCTGTGACCTTGGCTGTCTTCAAGCCTGCTTATTCAGTTGCTGCTTACAACTTGTTCTGATAGCTGAGGTTCCTTTATTTCCTATGTGTAAAACATGTGGCTGGCTCAGTGTCAGATGCTTCTAAGTGATCATACGGCATCTTTTCCATGCTACTTCAGCATGCCAAAATGGAGAACCCTGGTATTGGGCAAAGCTGACTGATGCTGTACTTGCTGTTTCTCTGTGTAGACATGCATGATGTCCCAGGTGCACCTCACTGAGGCCTTCAGATGTCGTAAAGAGCTTGACCTTAGACCTGCACTCTGGGTGGGCATTTAATGCCTTCGCTGTCGAGTACTATCAAGAAGCACTGCTTCACTGTCAAGCACCTGGAGTACTGGTAATGAGAAGTCTAGTCAGTGGTGTTGAGGTCAGTCCTCTCTTCTGCTTCTCATTTTTGCTGCGGAGCTAATGAAATAGTACTTATTTTAAACTAGGGCTGCAGGTACTGTAGCTGTTGGTTAGCTGCTAAGGACCTCCATGGTGAAATTGCTGGCTCAGAACATCTAGCTTGATGCAGCTGACAGCTTGGTGTCATCTGATTCTAGAAGGCATCATGACTATCAACAACTTGCAGCCTTCATGGCACATTGCACCTGTGCTTCCTGAAATACTGTTTCTTGAGAGGTGGGAAGGTAGTAGAGAGGAGAGCTGCTTGCTTCTCAGTAAGGAGCTGTAGTCCTCATCCTGAGAGAAGCTTGCAGACTCTT